GCAAGCACAACTAGGTGAGTACATCTAGGTGAGTACACACGCACACTGACACACTCACATGTCTATTGACACACACACACGCACAAAGAGATCTAGGGATGGTTCTAGATAGAAAACTATCACCTGAGGACCACATAAAGAACGTTGTGCGAGGAGCCTATGCCACGCTTTCTAACTTCAGAATTGCTTTTAAGTACATGGATGGCGATATACTAAAGAAATTGTTCACGACTTTTGTTAGGCCAAAGCTAGAATATGCAGCAGTTGTGTGGTGTCCATATCTTAAGAAGCGTATCAGCAAACTGGAAAAGGTGCAAAGACATGCTACTAAGTGGCTCCCAGAACTTAAGGACAAGAGCTACGAGGAGAGGTTAGAGGCATTAAATATGCCAAAACTAGAAGACAGAAGAAAAAGAGGTGATATGATCACTACATACAAAATAGTAACAGGAATTGATAAAATCGATAGGGAAGATTTCCTGAGACCTGGAACTTTAAGAACAAGAGGTCATAGATTTAAACTAGCTAAACACAGATGCCGAAGAAATATAAGAAAATTCACTATCACAAACAGAGTGGTAGACGGTTGGAACACGTTAGGTGAGAAGGTGGTGGAGGCCAAGACCGTCAGTAGTTTCAAAGCGTTATATGACAAAGAGTGCTGGGAAGACGGGACACCACGAGCGTAGCTCTCATCCTGTAACTACACTTAGGTAATTACACTTAGGTAATTACACGTGTCTATTGAGACATTCATCTACACACCCATGTCTATTGACAAACTATCTCACACCCATTTATACACTTTCGCCCTGGGCCTCGCAACTGAGCGGACAGCGGTCGAAGGTCGTAGTCCTAAGGACCCCGGTTCGAGTCCCGGCAGAAACAGAAACAAATCGGCAGAGTTTCTTTCACCTGATGGCCCTTTTCGTCTAGCGATTAATAGGTACTTGGGAGTATCAGAGCTGCTACGGGCTGCATCCTGGGGGATGTTTGTGTGTGTTAGAGAGATAAATATATATAATAGATATAATAGAGGAAAAATAGGTTGGAAGCAATATATTAGACAGCCGACGGTTAGAAAGGTGGGGTCCAAGAGCTCGATCCTGCAGGTACAAATTGTAAATACACTCATATCTTTTTGACAAACTCTCTCACACATCCATGTCTTCTGATGCATTCAACCACACATATATTTATTGACACACTTTCCCTCACACATTCTATTGACTGACTCTCAAGTCAGTTGACACATTCTCATCCACACACATATCTATTGACACACTCTCACCAAACACTTATATCTATTGACGCACTCTCACCAAACACTTATATCTATTGCCACTCACACTCATATTTATTATCAGACTCACCCACACACTCCATTGACAGACTCTCATATCAATTGACACACATACACATATCTATTGACACACTCTCATCCACACACACTCACATCTATTGACACACTCTCACCCCCTACTCATGCATGTCTACTGACACACCCATTCACGCACACACAGATCTGTTGACACAGTCTCACACACATATATCTACAAATACTCTCACCCACACACATGCCTATTAACAAACATCCATGACTATTCACACACCTGTCACAAGACTCTTTGAAGCCTTACACTTCCATGTTCTTCATGTTTTCTTTAATCGCTCCTGTATTTATTGATTTATTCTAAAATAATGTTTCCTGATGGCCTCCTGAAGGCCTTAAGATATTACAATTAGTACTGAACCTAAACCTTTATTGATATTACAGTTTTATAAAAAAATAAAACAACTAAAATATTTAAATAAATTGTAAAGTAACTCAGGATATTGTCAAATTTTGTATAAAATCTCTATTGTTTAATAAAACTGAGAGAAAAAGTTAGTGCCATGAGAAAAATATGGCTTGACATATTACATATGTACTTATTTATAAGCGAAATAGTGACTATAACCAATTAGTCATATATGTGCTGTCTTGTGTGAGAGCAGATTGGAAGGCCTCAGGCGGGAGGTCGTAATTACTCACCTCAAACTGGGAATAATTCTGAGATTAGTGAAAGCACTGACAAATCTTTAATATTTTATTATTACAACAATATCGACAAACATATTCATTTGATTACAATACGATACACATCACAATTTATATATATATATATATATATATATATATATATATATATATATATATATATATATATATATATATATATATATATATATATATATATATATATATATATAATATGAGGAAAATCCACAAAGAAATTGGAAAGGAAGATGAACGTTTGGGCTGTTTAAAGCCGTTGTCAACACTAGACTCAACACTAGACTCGGCTTTAAACAGGCGAAACGTTCATCTTCGTTTCCCATTTCTTTGTGGATTTTCAGCATACAAATGATCAGTGTTTCGTGATCGTCAATTGCATATATATATATATATATATATATATATATATATATATATATATATATATATATATATATATATATGCGAACAAGCCTGAATGGTCCCCAGGACATATATATATATATATATATATATATATATATATATATATATATATATATATATATATATATATATATATACAATATTTATTTATTTATTTATGTATAACATGTATAAATAAAGAATGATCATAAACGCTGATCAAAGTATGCAAAGGTAAGTACCTTACCTTTCACTGTGGTTATTCTGCATTAATGAATACCCACAATAGTTGAAAAAAAAGTTACGAAAAACACTGTGCTCAAATTTACAGCCTCATACTTTTACAGTTCAGGAAAAAACGTGGAAGAACATGTAACCGAAAACATTATTTTACCAATTTAACTAAAACGTCCATAATTTTGTTATGTCATCTACTGGTACATATAAGTGTCAATTATATTTAATAATGTAATAATGACTGACTTATATGTCTAATAATTGCATAGGGTTATTTTTTTTTTAGCAAATCTAGGATTGTACAATTATTATTACTCAATTATCTCTGTAAAATGTTGAAAGAGCTTTTAATTTATTTAAATGAAGACTTTTAGACAGTGAATTTGTATGCAGTTACAGTAAGCTTTTATCTAAAATCCTCGTTTATCAATAGCCTTTTGTAAGCAAACGGTAGATACACATATAATTTTATTTACACTAATGCTAACGTTTCAAATATATGAAAGTTATAGCAAATAATTTAAATAATAAACAGAGTTAAAGATGAGTATTTATGAATAATGATCATTTATATGTATAAGTATAAAACATAGCCAAGGAATTTATTTTAGGTCTAACACTAGCTAAGTTATTTCTTTATAATTATTATGAAAACATTTGGTAAAATTTTTGAGGCGTGTGTGTGTGTGTGTGTGTGTGTGTGTGTGTGTGTGTGTGTGTGTGTGTGTGTGTGTGCGCGCGTGCGTGCGCTCCCTCATAGTGCACATAGGCGAACCCAAGGTCCCCCACCCCCCCCCACAAGAATATCCTTGAGCATTTTTTTTAACTCTGAACTATGAAAGCAGAAAACTAATTACACTCATAATTACGATACAAATTTTACTTGACAGTAAATAAAATAAACCCTAATTAATCTCTCCCTCTGCAACTTATTATGAACAAAATTACTTAAACATAACGATAAGAATAAAATACCATTTCCATTTATCTTATACATCCCTAAGCTACACCTCAGTAGTAATATACCTACCAAGAATCAATCTCTATTTTCCATCATAACAAATTTACCTCACACTAAATAAACCTTTCAAAGCAACACTGTAAACCAATTCATTTATAAATGTACAGCCATTTCGGATTTTTTTTATTATATTTGAGATCTTTTTATATCTGAATCTTATCTAAATTTTCTTGCTCTAGTTGAGCTGAACTCAGAATAATACTGTGTTATAGACGCATTCCTGAAAATAACCACACAAATAAGGGTAATATACCTTACTGACTCACAAAGATCTGAGGTATAGTAACTCACGAAATACATAAAAAAAATGAGAATCATTCATTTACAGCCTCATTCATTTGTAACCACATGCATTTACAACTGCATTCATTTACTACCTCTACGGTTATGAGGGGGGGGGGGGGGACTATAACATTCCGTAACGGGGTAATATCCATTAAAACAAACCCATTATCATCAAAGAGCCGGCTGCTGTGATGGAGAGTCAACTGATGTTTACTTTAAACATTATTAATATCATGCCTGGACTCGCTGTGTGTTCATGGTGCCGGGGGCACACTAGGCTAATATTCCCGGTCAATACATTATTGGGAATATTGATACAGAACAAACACAGTGATATTGATAATGTGTTGATACTGTATTTCCAGGCTGACCCTCCAGCCTGTTCTCCGTTCAAAAACAAAAAACAATTGTTTTGCTCAGCCAGAAACTTTTGACCTTGATATCGCTGTTGTTTTAGATTCAGCTGCTCGGAACAAAAAAGTTCCAAGTAGCACGGGCTATGGTGAGCCCGTAATGGATATAAACTTGCTGATAACACCTAGCCTATTTAAGACGCTGCTCGTGAAACGTCAGTATAATGGTGTTTTAATGTTTACTTAAAACCCTCGTAATGTTGACGGTTTCGTAGATTCCGTTAACAATTTGATGTATTCAATCACGGGACGGATTGACCGAGGGGAGAAAATTCAAACTAGCAGCAGGGTTGTTAAAGGCCTATCAACTTCTGGAGAGTTATTAAGGCTTATCAACCTCTGGAGGGTTATTAAGGCCTATCAACTTCTGGAGGGTTATTAAGACCTATTAACCTCTGGAGGGTTATTAAGGCCTATCAATCTCTGGAGGGTTATTAAGACCTATTAACCCCTGGAGGGTTATTAAGACCTATTAACCTCTGGAGGGTTATTAAGGCCTATCAATCTCTGGAGGGTTATTAAGACCTATTAACCCCTGGAGGGTTATTAAGACCTATTAACCTCTGGAGGGTTATTAAGGCCTATCAATCTCTGGAGGGTTATTAAGACCTATTAACCTCTGGAGGGTTATTAAGACCTATTAACCTCTGGAGGGTTATTAAGACATATCAACCTCTGGAGGGTTATTAAGGCCTATCAACCTCTGGAGGGTTATTAAGGTCACGACAGTAGCTTACTGACAAAACATCAAGTATACTTTAGTCCTGAACATTGTCCTGGACTAAAGTATACTCTCAGTGTGTCTACCCAGAAGTGGGGTATACCTCTCGCGTATGCAAAAGTGATAATAATTAACGAACGAAAATAATATTTTGTATGAAAATAAATAATAATAATAATAATAATAATAATAATAATAATAATTGTATTCCAATGACATTAAAAATAATATGGATGATATATATATATATATAGTTTTACTAGTAAAGCTGATAAACCAGTTTCAGCTTCCCTGAGATAGATAAAAAAATAAAAAAAAACATGTGTGTACGTTTGATTGTATGTGTGTGAGTGTGTGTGTGTGAGTGTGTATATCTGCATATGTACAAATGCTCGTCGACAATAAGAACACTACATATGAAACCGACACATCAGGTTACGAGTGCAAGAACACATGACCCATTCAGTGAGCCGCGAGCGAGCCAGAGTCATGCATGAAGACGGACTCCATCGTGATCGTGGAGCCGCGCGGTGAGGGCGTCCCGTTGCTCGACACGGAGCAGCTGACGAAGTGGAAGCTGAGGGCTGGAGGCGGGTCGCCGCTGTCGGTATCCAAGGACCTTTGACTGACGGGCCGATGGATGTTGGAGTAGCAGCCCTTGAGCCGACGGGGGTTGATGAGCCGGGCTCCGGAGGTGCACACCTCCGAGCTGTGAAAGGGAACGGCGGCCATAGACCCGCCTTGCACGATGGCCGACGAGAGCTGCATAATCGTGGGGCTTTTATTGGCATTGCACGCCAGCGCCTTGAAGGACTTGCCGGTGCGCGTTGCAAGGAGCTTGAAGAACTGCTTGTAAGCCTTCCTGTAGTTGGCGTTGCTGGCGGCGTAGACGAGGAAGTTGATGCCGTACTGGATCCAGTAGTTCATGAAGATGGCGATGCCGAGAGGGACGTGTATTTTATCGGTGACGAGCGTGATGACGTTGTAGACGCAGATGGGAATGATGCAGACGAGGAAGAGCAGCAGCAGCGCCAGCAGGAGCGCAGCAGACCTCAGCATCCTGCGGAATCGCTGCCGCACCAGCTCCTGCGGCCTGCGGGGAGGAGACAACTGCGTGCTAATCCATAGTTTATTATGTATTGTGGTTGTACTTGGGAATCGAACGTGCGCCCCTGGTGCAGGTTACAGCAATCATTTGCTCACCCATTTACGAAACCTGTATATCTTGCCTGTGGCACGGTGGCTTTGTTTAAATTTATTTAAGCAGTTTATGAGCTTCGATATAACACACAACCTATATTTATTATTGTTAAAAACAACTTCGTAGTATTTTACAGCTTATAACCAACATTATAAATGTTACCAAAGCTGCCATGATTAACCAAAGATGCACAGGTCTCGTAAGGGACCTGGGTAAATACTGGACGATTTCGCGCCCCTGATCACCTCAAGCCTGCTCAGAAACACACGCACTGGGGGGCTGAGATCAGAAACGCGGGTTCGATTCCACCGTACAGCCTCAATATTTATGATTTATAGATTCATTACGTTATTTTGATTTGCATTGTGCATGCTTTATTGGCTATGATCTTTGAGCTGTCATTATTATTATTATACTATACTCTTATTCTATTGTCTTGTTGAGGGTTTTATTCACAGGCGTTGCCTTTAGCGATAGACAATTGTTGCTAAATCTATCAGCTATCTCTCTATTACCTATCTCACTAATTACCTATTTCTTTATCACCTATCTATTATCTATCTATCCATCTATCGTTCTTTCAGATTCTGTTAATGAACGATCTACGATGCAAAATTTATGTAGTTTAATAAAGAGTGGAATTGAGAGTATCACAAATAAGAAGCTCCCGGAGCACAAAACATGTTCGAGCAGCGTTGAATCAACATAGTCAACGTTTAATCAGTGATGAATCAACGTCTTTTGCTCAACAAGTGCCCACCAGGATGCTTAAATAACGTTAAATCAACGTTATATATATATATGTCGTACCTAGTAGCCAGAACGCACTTCCCAGCCTACTATGCAAGGCCCGATTTGCCTAATAATCCAAGTTTTCATGTATTAATATATTTTCTCAAATTTTTTTCTTATGAAATGATAAAGCTACCCATTTCATTATGTATGAGGTCAATTTTTTTTTATTGGAGTTAAAATTAACGTAGATATATGACCGAACCTAACCATCCCTACCTAACCTAACCTAACCTATCTTTATAGGTTAGGTTAGGTTAGGTAGCCGAAAATGTTAGGTTAGGTTAGGTTAGGTAGGTTAGGTAGTCGAAAAACAATTAATTCATGAAAACTTGGCTTATTAGGCAAATCTGGCCTTGCATAGTAGGCTGAGAAGTGCGTTCTGGCTACTAGGTACGACATATATATATATATATATATATATATATATATATATATATATATATATATATATATATATATATATATATATATATATATATATATATATATATGTCGTACCTAGTAGCCAGAACTCACTTCTCAGCCTACTATTCAAGGCCCGATTTGCCTAATAAGCCAAGTTTTCCTGAATTAATATATTTACTATAATTTTTTTCTTATGAAATGATAAAGCAACCCTTTTCTCTATGTATGAGGTCAATTTTTTGTTATTGGAGTTAAAATTAACGTAGATATATGACCGAACCTAACCAACCCTACCTAACCTAACCTAACCTATATTTATAGGTAAGGTTAGGTTAGGTAGCCAAAAAAAGCTAGGTTAGGTTAGGTTAGGTAGGTTAGGTAGACGAAAAAACATTAATTCATGAAAACTTGGCTTATTAGGCAAATCGGGCCTTGAATAGTAGGCTGAGAAGTGCGTTCTGGCTATTAGGTACGACATATATATATATATATATATATATATATACATTAAATTAACGTTGCATCAATGTTATTTTCCCATATTTAGCCTAAAGCAAGAGAACGCCAGGGAGCGTGAGTCAAGACAGTGTTTTGTTTTACACATCTCTTCTACGTTAAAGCCCAGACAGGGGAGAAAAAATATGCTTGAATAACGCTAAGTTAACGTAAGATTCAATGCCACATTAACGCCATTTGCCCAAGGAAGGGAAGGGTAGAGGGCGGGCGGAATGTTAGGGAAACATCAGGGAAGCAGAACGCAACGCCAGCCCTGAACAATTTCCAGAAACCATTCACCCAGTACTGCTTTTTATGGCGCCAATCTGAGATAAATGGTTTAATCTCGTCTCTTACATTCCCGCCGCTCGCAGCATCCTGGTGTTCCTCCAGATCTGGAAGATGATGCTGAGGCAGCCAGTGAGCATGAGGCAGCAGGGCAGGAGGGACTCCAGGGTGTAGAAGTAGAAGCGTCCCTTGGGGTCCGTCATGTCGCACTTGTAGGTGGTGTTGTCGTAGTTGTATTGGTCCTGCAAGGCGCAACCATATCACACGTGACACAACAGTTATGTGAACCCCTCGTATAGATTAGGGGTGTAGCACCTGTGTACAAAACGTTTTTAATACAAAAAAGGACTCAAAAGTGTGCATTTCATTTGCATAACGGTGAGCTATTTTGGAGGATGGAATATGTACAACTCGATGGTTTCCTAATCGGCCCCTGAGACAATCAGCAAAGAAGTTAAACAAGCTACACATACATGTATCACACACATACACACACACACACATACATACACACACACACACACACACACACACACACACACACACACACACACACACACACACACACACACACACACACACACACACACACACACACACACACACACACACATTGTGTGTGTGTGTGGATGACGCAAAATTAATGAGAAGAGTTGTGACAGACGAGGATTGTAGGATCCTCCAAGAGGACTTAAACAGGTTGCAGAGATGGTCAGGGAAATGGCTACTGGAGTTTAACACCAGTAAATGTAAAGTTATGGAAATGGGATCAGGTGACAGGAGACCAAAGGGACAGTACACAATGAAGGGGAACAGCCTACCTGTAACGATTCGAGAAAGAGACCTGGGAGTGGATGTGACACCTAATCTAACTCCTGAGGCACATATAAATAGGATAACGACAGCAGCGTACTCTACACTGGCGAAAATTAGAACTTCATTCAGAAACCTAAATGAGGAGGCTTTTAGGGCGCTTTACACTGCCTACGTGAGACCCGTCTTAGAGTATGCCGCGCCATCATGGAGCCCCCACCTGAAGAAACACAAAGAAACTGGAGAAGGTTCAGAGGTTTGCGACGAGGCTTGTCCCAGAGTTACGAAGGATGGGATATGAAGAGCGTCTGAAGGAACTGAACCTAACGACACTAGAGAAAAGAAGGGAGAGAGGAGATATGATAGGGACATATAAAATATTCAGGGGAATTGACAAAGTGGAAATAGATGAAATGTTCACACGTAATAATGACAGAACGAGGGGACATGGGTGGAAACTGGAAACTCAGATGAGTCACAGAGATGTTAGGAAGTTTTCTCTTAGCGTGAGAGTAGTGGAAAAATGGAATGCACTTGGGGAACAGGTTGTGGAAGCAAATACTATTCATACTTTTAAAACTAGGTATGATAGGGAAATGGGACAGGAGTCATTGCTGTAAACAACCGATAGCTGGAAAGGCGGGATCCAAGAGTCAATGCTCGATCCTGCAAGCACAAATAGGTGAGTACAAATAGGTGAGTACACACACACACACACACACACCTGGGACCTGGAACAACTTCAAGCACAAGAGGTCATAGATTTAAACTAACTAAAAAAAGATGCCGAAGAAATATAAGAAAATTCACTTTCGCAAACAGAGTGGTAGACGGTTGGAAAAAGTTAAGTGAGAAGGTGGTGGAGGCCAAGACCGTCAGTAGCTTCAAAGCGTTATATGACAAAGAGTGCTGGGAAGACGGGACACCACGAGCGTAGCTCTCATTCTGCACCTACACTTAGGTAATTACACTTAGGTAATTACACACACACACACACACACACACTAATCCCCCACATAAGTAGTCCATATCTGTAAAAATATGTCTGCTTGTTTATCTGTCTGTCCAAAGTTAGAGGCCAGACGCTTGGGGCTAGCCTCACCCAAGTTTGCAGGGAGGTTGGTCTTGGGTATGGGACGGACACAGGCTGGTCGTAGTAGGCCTTATTTAAATACTCTAAGAAACATCGGCCCGTAAGCATCCTTCTCCCTTTCCCGTGCAATTTTCACGATAGAAAGCGAAAGCACGGATGAGTTTTCCATAGAGTTTACCGAGCATTTTTCATAATTTCTTGAAAACGATGAACTAATTTATTTGGGTTACACTTATTAAAATAGTAGAGAAGACAGTTACAGTGATGGGGAACATGCAAAGATGAGGAAAGGGGGAATAAAAGGGGGAAGATGATAGGTGAGAGAGAACAAGAGGATGATGAGGCGAAGAGACGGTACAAGAAAATGATGGAAAAAGAGGGATGGGTGAAAGGGGGGAAAAGGAGGTGCAGGACAAGAAATGGTAAAAGGGGGGTGGGGGGGAAGAGTGGAGATAGGGAGGAAAGAGGAGTGGAAGAGCGAGGAGGGCAAAGTGGGAAGACAGACGCGAACACTGCTGGGTTTCCTTATATATATATATATATGTCGTACCTAGTAGCCAGAACGCACTTCTCAGCCTACTATGCAAGGCCCAATTTGCCTAATAAGCCAACTTTTCATGAATTAATTGTTTTTCGACTACCTAACCTACCTAACCTAACCTAACCTAACTTTTCCGGCTACCTAACCTAACCTAACCTATAAAGATAGGTTAGGTTAGGTTAGGTAGGGTTGGTTAGGTTCGGTCATATATCTACGATAATTTTAACTCAAATAAAAAGAAATTGACCTCATACATAATGAAATGAGTAGCTTTATCAATTCATAAGAAAAAAATTAGAGAAAATATATTAATTCAGAAAAACTTGGCTTATTAGGCAAATCGGGCCTTGCATAGTAGGCTGAGAAGTGCGTTCTGGCTACTAGGTACGACATATATATATATATATATATATATATATATATATATATATATATATATATATATATATATATATATATATATATATACATACATAAATACATATATACAATTTTGTCCCCATTGCTTCTGAGACACTCGGCGCCTGGGGTAAAAGTGCTACCAGTTTTTTGAAGGAACTGGGTTCTAGGCTCATTGAAACGACAAGGGACCCAAGAGCTGCAAGCTTTCTTTTCCAGCGCCTCAGTGTGGCGATACAGAGGGGAAATGCGCACTGCATCCAGGGTTCCTGCCCGCCATCTGAGGAGCTGGAGGAACTCGACAACCTATGATAACCATCTTTGTAACCCATATGTAACTCCTTTTTTGTAACAAAGTTCAAATAAAGTAAATATATATGTGTACATACAAAAGAATGGGGGTGGTAGGAGAAGATAATATTAGTGTTCAGTGAGAAACCACAAGGTCTCCTCTGAATACTTTTTATTTTCTTCTCCGAGGTTATGGGTCCCCACATTGGCCCCAGAGGTGGTACCCTCACAAACTTCTTATACATATATATATATATATATATATATATATATATATATATATATATATATATATATATATATATATATATATATATATATATATAACACTTGGACCATCGAAGCCTTGAATCGCAGACCCCAGAAGCAGCAGCCCGCAGCTCTACCTACTGAGCCACCAGCACCACAATAAGGAAGGATCCCGGAGACACTTAACTGCAGTCCCACTGGAACACGAGGCCTTCCCTAGGGTGCCACTGTAGCATGAAGGTGTTAGGTTATCTTGAGGTTATCTTGAGATGATTTCGGGGCTTTAGTGTCCCCGCGGCCCGGTCCTCGACCAGGCCTCCACCCCCAGGAAGCAGCCTGTGACAGCTGACTGACACCCAGGTACCTATTTTACTGCTAGGTAACAGGGGCATAGGGTGAAAGAAACTCTGCCCATTGTTTCTCGCCAGCGCCTGGGATCGAACCCAGGACCACAGGATCACAAGTCCAGTGTGCTGTCCGCTCGGCCGACCGGCTCCCCAAGGTAATCCACGTCCTAGTGACATCAATTTCTAATCAGTAATCCGGTAAACCAACATTGTTATCCTTTCAACCTCATGGTACTTAGGAGTTCATGTAAATAATAAGAGTTTAATACATGTAAACCAACCCGGCATAGTTGAGGAAAGATGCACAGGTTTCGTAAATGTCTGATGAATCACAGCTCAGCTTTTACTACTATTTATCCCTAGTTTATAGAGTCCTAAACATGGCCTACCACGACACGCATATGTAAAGGTCATCCTAATTATAATATTTAAAATGTGTTATTTTTCGAAATTCATGTAAACACTGAATAATTAATTGGAATTTGTATTTTTTGTGTAAGTATCACAGGTGAGTTTTAATAACAATATAATTATTATATATGAGAAATAATGCGAATATATATATATATATATATATATATATATATATATATATATATATATATATATATATATATATATATATATATATATATATATATTTATATATCTGTCGTACCTAGTAGCCAGAACGCACTTCTCGGCCTACTATGCAAGGCCCGATTTGCCTAATAAGCCAAGTTTTCCTGAATTATTAAATTTTCTCAATTTTTTTTCTTATGAGATGATAAAGCTACCCATTTCATTATGTATGAGGTCAATATTTTTTTATTGGAGTTAAAATTAACGTAGATATATGACCAAACCTAACCAACCCTACCTAACCTAACCTAACCTATCTTTTTAGGTTAGGTTAGGTTAGGTAGCGGAAAAAGTTAGGTTAGGTTTGGTTAGGTAGGTTAGGTAGTCGAAAAACAATTAATTCATGAAAACTTGGCTTATTAGGCAAATCGGGCCTTGCATAGTAGGCTGAGAAGTGCGTTCTGGCTACTAGGTACGACATATATATATATATATATATATATATATATATATATATATATATATATATATATATATATATATATATATATATATATATATATATATATATATATATATATCTGATTATGCATTTTATGAAGAAAAGTGACGAATATTTTGTCTTAAAACTTACTAATATATTTTAAGGTTAGAATTAGGCATATGGTGATTAATATTATTATTATTATTATTATTATTATTATTATTATTATTATTAGTAGTAGTAGTAGTAGTAGTAGTATTATCATTATCATTATTGTATATATACCTCGAGATGTTTACTTCGACTATATCCAAGACAAAATTATACTTGCTAGATGGACAGTTGGCTACTGTGGCGCCTTGACAGCTCTCCAGAGGTTAACAGGTCTTAAACCTAACACCAAACTTACTGGTTGGTCAGTAAGATATTGTAATGGCCTTAATATTCCCTTCAGAGGTTGGCTG